GGTGGGGGACGGGGAGGGGCGGGGTTGCAGTGAAACTGCGCGGGGGGACCGGGAGGGGGCGGAGTTGCGGTCAAACTGCGGGGTTAGGGGGCGGGCAGAGGGGCAGATGCGGGGCGTCAGACAGGCTGAGCGCGGCCGCACCACTGGAGGGCTCCCCCAAGCATCTGATTCGGGGCAAACGCATTTCCTTCCGATAACTGGTGGAATCTCCCGGGGTTTGGTGTAAATTGTCTAGATTACACCAGATTGTCTGCTTCCGTCTCCCCAGAGTCTGGCGTGTGTTGAGGCGGCCAGATTCCGGGAGGGGCGCCTCACCAGCACCACCCCCTCTTGCAGGTGGCCCCCCAGAACATGGGTCCCTGCAGGCAAGGCTTCCCTCCTGCAGAGGCAGCCTGCAGCCTGGCTTCCAGCCGGCCCCCAAATCCCTTCTCAAAGACTCAAGAGTGTTTCACAATCAGACCATTGTAGGTTCATACAGACCTGCGAGGGTTAAAAGAGCACAGGGCCTCCTGCCCCGCTCCCCCCACAACCTGCACTGGGACGGCCCTGGCCCTCGGGCGGCTGGGACAGTGGCTACGATGCCCTCCCAGAGCTGTGGAGGCCGGAGGACTCACCACCAGAGACTCGTTGAATTCGTGGTTCAGGTCGGCCTCCTCTGCAGCCTCCACCAGATTCTGAGGGATGGGAACGTGAAGGGGAGCATGACCGCGGGAACAAGGCCAGGGCCCCCCCACAGCCAGGTCCACTCCTAGGGCTGCCTCCGCGGGAACTGGGAAGAGACCCTCAGACCAGAACCTGCGCCCGCATGTTCACAGCAGCGGGAGTCACAGGAGCTTTTCAAAAGGTAGATGCATTTACTGGGGACAGGAAGCCGGTCTGAAAAGGCTACACGCTGCGGGATTCCAACTACACGACGTCCTGGGAAAGACACAACTTGGGGACAATGGCAGAAAGCTCAGTGGGTGCCTGGGGTCTGTGGGGAGGGAGGGGCGGACAGGTGGAAAACGGGATCTTTCAGGGCAGTGAAACTCCGCTGTACCACCTAGAGCGGCGGACAGGTGTCTCTGTACCTTTGTCCACCCCAGGCTGTGCATCACCGGGAGTGAACCCAGGGTCAGCTGTGCACGCTGGTGGCTAAGATGCGGTTCATCATTTGTACAAAGGTACCGCCTGGCGGGGGGGTCGATGGTGAGGGAGGCTGTGTTCGTGGGATCGGGGGTAATGGGAACTCTCCCTGCTCTCCTCACAGTTTAGCTGTGAGCCTAAAACTGCTTTAAAAAATAAAGTCTGTTAAAATGTGTGTATGTGTTTCTGTAGCGATATTCAAGCTGCGTATAGTCAGTAGTCAGAGGTGGAAGCAGCCCAAATGTCCGACAACGGATAAACAGATAAAATGTGGGCTATCCACACAATGGAATATTATTCAGAAATTAAAAGAAATGAAGCGCTGACAGCTGTGAAAACACAGACGAACCCTGAGAACGTGATGCGAAGTGAGACTCCAGATACAAAAGGTCAAACTGGACGATTCCCTTTACATGAAATCTCCAGAACAGGAGAGTCCGTTGGCAGAAAGAAAGCGGCCTAGTGGTCCCCAGGAGCCGGGGCACGAGGCTCTCAGTGGGTTCGGGTTTCACGGGGTTTCCGTTTGGGGCGATGAAAAGTGCAGAACCAGACAGGGATGGCAGCCGCACAACGCCGTGAATATACTTAATATCACTGACCTGAACACTTTAAAACGCTTTAAAATGGTAACTTTTCTGTGTATTTACCACAAATTAAATAAAAAAAAGGCCAGCATCACAGAGCGTAAGGGAAGAAAGAAAATTAACGAAACACAGATGGTGGAAAGGCGCCTCACGCTCACGGGCTGGAAGGATATCGTTGAAATGTCCGTCTACCCAGAGTGGCCTCCACGTTCAGTGCAGTCCCTACCCAAGCCCCGAGGTCATTCTTTACAGAAATAGAAAAAACAGTCCTAACATTACATGGAACCACAGAAGACCCTGAATAGTCAAAGCGTCTCGGGCAAGAAGAACAGAGCTGGAGGCATCACACTCTGTCACAATGCTGCAGTCATCAAAACGGTTGGTCCTGGCACAAAAACAGACACTTAGACGAACGGAACAGAATAGGGAGCCCAGAAATGAACCCCTGCATCTACGGCTAACTGCCTTTGAGGGTACTAGGTACACACGATGATGAGAAAATGCCTCTTCAATAAGCGGTGTTGGGGAAACCGGGTCTCCACCTGCCGACGAATGAGAAGAGACCCTCATCTGCCATCACATGAAAATCAGCTTAAAGTGGACTAACGCCTTCAGTGTGGACCCGAATCCGTGAAATCACGAGAAGAAAACACAGGGGCAAGTCTTCTCAACACTGGTCTCTCGTTTGGGGAACAAAACACGCAGGCCCCAACAGCAAAAACAGCAGTGGGTCTGCATCCAACTAAAAAGCATCTGCACAGCAAGGGAGCAACAGAGCGACAAGACAGGCCACAGAACGGGAGAGCATGCCTGCGGACCGTGTACTGGGCAAGAGCGTAATATCTAAAAGGTACAGGAAACTCCTACAGCTCAATAGTAGAAACCAAATAATCCAATTTTAAAATGGTCAAGGAACGCGAACAGACATTTCTGCGAAGCCATACAAATGACCAACAGGTAGAGGGACAGGTGCTCAGCTTCGCAGATCATCAGGCACATGCAAGTCAGAACCACAGTGAGGCCCACCTCTCACCTGTCAGAACGGGCAAGAGAAGAGATGACAAGCACTGGTGAGGGTGTGGAGAACAGGGAGCCCTCGGGCACCGTTGGTGGGAACGTGAATTGGTGCAGCCACTATGGAAAACAGTATGGCGGTTCCTCAAAAATTAAAACCAGAACTGCCATACGACCCAGCAGTGCCACTCCTGAGTGTACATCCAAAGGTCGTTAAACAGGATCTCCAAGAGACACCCGCACCCCGTGTTCCTCGACGCGTTACTCACAACAGCCGAGGTGTGGAAACGGCTTAATTGTTCGCGGACAGTTGACTGAATAAAGAAAATGTGCAAAATGTATGATGGAATATTATTCAGCCTTAAAAAAGGAATTGCTTCTTTGCAACAACCCGGATGAAACTGGAAAACTATGCAGGTGAAACCAGCGTGATGCAGGAAGACAAATGTTGCAGAACGTCACTCACACGTGGAATCCAGTCAGACCACAGCAACTCACAGGAGGATGGAGATGGCGGGGGCGGGGGCGGGGGACTGGTCTGGGGAACAGCTTCAGTTACGCAGATGAAGAAATTGTGGAGAACCGACGCACAGCCTGCGACCGAGGTGACAGTGTTGCACGGCGTACTCGACCTTTGCTAAGAGGGTGTGCTCCCCACTCCTCTGGCACAAAAAGAAAGCGAGCCTGGGGGGCGGGGGAAGGAGGGGAAATAGTCACTGTGAGGTGATGGTCGCAGAGACTGGCTGGGTGGGTGCGTACTGCACAGTGCACACGAATGTCGGATGATCAAGTTTTACCCCTTAAATACACGCAACTTTTGATTGTCAGTTATACCTCAGTAAACCTGGGGGTGGGGGGAGAAAGGAGACCAAGCTCCCCTCTCAGCTTTGTTGGGGGAAACACTCCACCCTCCGGGGCTCTGTTTATCCACCTGTGAACTGGGTAGGACAACCCGGGCCTCCCTACCCCACCCCCAACTCTGAGGATATGATGGAGAAGTTCCACTTGGCAAAGATTAGTTTGGCACTGCTTTGCAAGAAATTTCCCCACAGGCCCCCCACAGACGGGCCCGGGGCTATGGGCCGTGGGCCCCAGCAGGGAGCTGGGGTTCATGCTGGGGGAGGGACTGCAGAAGAAAGGCCCACTTGGTTGGTTTTCCGCGTTGAGGCCACAGGAAGGACACGCCCCCCCCAGGGCCCAGAGCCCTGGCCTCTGGAGGTGTCCCAAGACTGCTTGTGCTCTGGCCCCCGGAGGGCCAGCCCTGAAGGGGTGCGTCCCTGTGCCCCAGTGTCTGCGCTCTGCCCAGAGCGGCAGATGGAAGGGGGCAGGCAGCCCCGCTGGGCAGAGCTCTGTGTGGGTCAGCGTTCCCCTGCTGTGGGCAACCCTCAGGTATCTCCTCACTGGCTCCTGATGCTAAGAGCCCCTGCCCTAAGCCTGGAGAACAAAGAATGCAATTTGTAACTGGTGGAAAAGAAAGCCCCAGCAGCCATGACACTGGGTTCCCCCCAGACGCAGAGTTTTGTTGGGAGACACAGGCAGGCTCACTGGCCCTCAGCGCTGCCCCCGCCTCCCCTGCACCTGCCCCATCCCTGCCCCACCTCCTCTCTTCTGGTTCTCCTGGCCCCCGGAAAGGACAGCGCTGGTCTGGGGTGGCCGGATTCCTGTCTGGGTGGAGACAGGGACCTGCCTCTCCAGCCACACTGTACCTGCGGCTTACACCAGCCAGGCCCCCCAGGTGTCAGGGCGGGCACCTCATGCCAGGGAATCCCGTCCCTCCCAGGCCACGCCAGGGGGATGTGCAGTGACGAAATCCCCTGGGCTGGGCCGCCATCACTGCAGCACCTGGGTGCCTTGAAGGACCAGTCCCGTGTGGCAGGAGGGGAGGGGGCGGTGAGGAGGAGGGGGAGGGGTGGAGGAGGGGGAGGGGAGGAGGAGGGGGAGGGGGGGAGGAGAGGAGGGGGAGGGGTGGAGGAGGAGGGAGGGAGCTCACCTCACCTGCTCTCACCCTACGGCCCGTCCGCCACCCTCCGCCCGCCACCCACTCAGCGGTGACTCCAGAGCCCTCTTCCACTCGCTCTGCCCCATCCCTGAGCCTGAGGTCGTGATGCAGAGTCCTTGACACTGCGGGTCACACCCACAGCCCCAGACGCTGCTGCCCAAGGCAGGGCGCGTGCTCCAGCCCCCCCCCCCGCCCCAGCACCTCTTCTTTACAGGGTCTGTGGCTCAGGGACGGCCGGGCAGGGGGGCGTGGTGTGGGGGAGGGTTCAGGGGGCACGCCCAGGCCTCGGGGCGAGGACCCCTGCACACAGCCTGAGCACCTTGACGGCCTCCACCTTCCTGCGGAGCATGGTCTCCATGTCCTCCGAGAACTTCCTCACCAGCTCCAAGCCGTCCACCTCCTTGATCTTCAGACTGGGCTCCACGTCCTTGTATTTCTGTCCAGGGGACATGACGCACCGTCGTCCTGGGACTCGGGCCCTGTGCAGGTGCCTCCCTCCCTCCCCACGCGACCTCCCTGGACAACAGGCGATGCCGCTCGTCAGTTCATCAGATGTCCGCTGGTTCACAGCCTTCAGAGGGCGGGTGCTGAGGCCAGAGATGTCGTGAACTCCACCGAGGTCACACTGCCAACGCCCAGGGCCTGGGGCTCCATGTGCTGCCCCCCACCCGCCCCCGGGGCTGCTCTCAGGGGCCGTGAAGCTTGAGCTTGTCTCTCCCCGACTCCCGTGGCATCTGTGCCCCTCACATTCTCAGAGGGGCAGGTGTGGACACTTCCCCATCTCGGCCGGGGGGCTGGTGCAGGTGCCCTCTGGGGCCACAGAGGCACTCTCTCACCACGAGCCCTGAGTGCCGTCTGGCCGTGAGTGACCCGGTTCCCAAAACTGTAAGATGCGCCATGCGTATGGCTTTTACCCTCTAAAGCCACATAATTGTGGCCCCAGCCCCTTCCTGGATCGGAGGGCGCAAAGAAGAAAGTTGGAGCAGGCGTGGGAGGGGGGCAGGCGGGGCTGGCATGGCCACCACGGCCCCGGGGCCAAGACAGCGGGCACCCAGCCTGGGGAGGGGACCAGCGTGGCTAGAAAAGCCTGAGGCTCTCTTCCAGGCGCAGTTAGAACACGGCGCCAGCAGCCGTGCAGGGAATCAGACGGGGAAAAGGGCTCTGGACCCGGAGGGCAGTGAGGGGACAGCAGAGCCATCCTCAGTGCTGGCCCAGGAGCTGTAATGTCAGGGGGCCAAGAGGTGGCTGTAAGCGAGAGGGAGGACAGGGGATTGTCAGTCTGTGCACAGAGCAGTTCATTAATAAGGGGACAGAGCCCAGCTTCCGGCCCAGGGGCAGGGCGGGGCCTCGGTGGTTCTCCAGCGCCTGGGAGCTCCCGCTCCCAGTATCAGGCCTGTGTGAGGTCCGCCCCCCCGCCCCGCTCCCCTTTATTCTCCCCCCACCCCACACAGTCTCTTGCCCTCTAATTGCATCTTGGTGTTGGCTTCCCAGCACCTGAGCTGAGGCTGCTCTCGGTTGTCCCCGGACCATGCCACCCCCACCAACGTGCTCTGTGCTGGGCCTCAGTTCCCTGCCTGAAATGGGGACTGGACTGGGCAATCCCCGAGAGCCACCATGGCAGGCACACGCCGCCCGACAGAGCCCCTGGCCGACGGCCCCCCCGCCCCGGAAGGCACTGACCTTCTGTAGCAGAAGAGAGCCCGAGTATTTGGTGACAGTGTCATACAGGTCCGCACCGAAGGTGTCCGCCCATAGCTTCACTCTGCCGGACAGACGGTGGGAGAGCACGTGTGCACACATGCACACACACATGCCTGTAGGAAGCAAGTGTCTCCCCGCAGGGTACACCCACTGATGCGCGCGCACACACACACACACACACACGTGCACACAACACAGAGACACACACATATACACGGACGCCGTGCACACGTGCACACACACAAGCTCACACACACTGACGTACACCCAGGAAACACACAAGCAGCTACCGTCCCTCCCAGGCAGGGGGGGACCCAGAGGGCGGGCACAGCCGCAGCAGCTTGACGGCCAGTCCCCCCGTGGCCCTGTGCAGGATCACTGTGGGCCGAGGACTCTCTGCTGAAGCCTCTGCAGGAGCGCGAGGCAAGGGGGCAGAGGGGATGGCTCTGAGCCTCGTCTGCGAGGCCAGGGAGGGCAGGTGGGCAGCTGTACAGAGAGACCCATCCCCAGAAGTGCACCAAGACCCCGCCCTCTGGAGGGCGCGCAGGCCCCTGTCTGAGCCTCTCCAGCAAGATCAGCATCTGCTCAACCCTCAGCCAGTGATTACAGAAGCCCTACTGTGTGCCAGGACTGTGAGCAGACTGGAGCCCTGGATTTCGGTGCAGAGGTTTGGAAGAGAATGCTGGGTGGAGTCCCGAAGAGCACAGAGGAGTCAGACTGTAACAGGGAAGAACCAGTCCCACTGCACTGGGTGTTTCTTGTACTTTAACCTTTGTATCTATTTCTTTTGCTACAAGTTAAGAATGTTGCTTATGGCCCAAAATAGACAGGAGGGCCCACTCTCCAGGCTCTGGCCTTTATGAGTGTAACACTTTTCCATTCACATAGAGATCAAGAAGTTGCAGAACAGAGAATGACACTTGTCCTGCTGGAGGTTTATGGGAACGCCATGGCCTGACCTACTTGGACAGCTGCAAGAACACAGGATTCCAACACCAAGAAGTTTGCACCAACCAACCACACCCTCCCCTTTTTTAGTATAAAAGGAGCCTGAATTCTAACTCTGGGAAGATGGTTCTCTGGGTCACTAGTCCACCGTCTCCTCGAACTGCTGGCTTTCCCGATAAAGTTGCTAGTCCTTGCCCCAACACCTCGTCTCCCGATTTACTGGCCTGTCATGCGGTGAGCAGTGTGAGCTTGGGCTCGGTGACAAAATGACTTCTGGGTCTCGAGCTTGGGTGGTTGGGCTGATGGTGGTGTTACTGAATAAAATTAAGAATAATATCAAGACGACCAGAGGAACAGGTTGGGGAGGGTGGAATTTGATGCCTGCAGCTTGGGAGACGTAAGGTGAGGTCCCCGCCGCAGGGCTGCCGGGTGCCATCGGGCAGGTTGCAAACTGCCCAACACTAGAAGGCACGAGTCACGTTGCGTCTTGAGAGACACACACGTGAATCTAAACTCTCCTGTGATGTTCGGGAAGAGCTGTCCGTGGCAATGGCACGTGGGTGTAGCAGGGAGAGGCACCGCTACGTGGGTGGGAGCTGAAATTCTGAGGGGAGGTGGGCCCACAGGGAGGGTGTTCTGCACGAGGTCTGTGAATGGACGGCAAACCCCAGGGACACCAGCCATCCCGGGGCAGACAGAGGGAACGGGGCATCTGGGGAAGACAGGGTTAACATAGGCACCACCCAGACCGGGGAGAGAATTTCAATTCAGAGTAGGGAGAGGCTGGTGCCCAGAACAGGAGTGCCGGGGAGGCACACAGCCAGGGATGTGTGCCAGGTTGGGCCAGGAGCTCTCTGGGGACTTGGCGGGAACAGATCTGGAGGGCAGGAGATGCCGGGCAGGCGGTGGAGGCCGAGCACTGAGAGGGAGGGGAAGGCGTGGGGAGATGCAGGTCTGGGAGGAGGACTGGGAAGGATTCAGCAGGAGGGCTGGTCAGGGGCCCGGAGGGGGCCTGGCTCCAAGGCCGTGGGCACGTGGGCCTCCACCGGGGCCGACGCTCGGGGCCCCTGTGCAGCTGGTCCCCTCTGTGCAGACCTGGCCTCTGGCCATCTTCACGCTCTGGGAGCTCGCCTCCTACTATTAGTTGGCGTGTGCTCGGGTGAAGGTGACTCTCAACACCTCCCTCCACGACAGCGTTCACGCTGGGCAGTCGGTGTGGAGGGGAGGCACTGGCCAGGCCAACTCGAGTTCAGTCCAGCGCTGCCATGTACTGGGGCGGCCACCTGACCTCTCTGGGCTGGTTTCCCACCTCACTGTGTGGCTGTGTGGTCACCAGCGCAGCCCCAGCAGCACCAGGCATGTAAAAAGCAGGGGTGGGACCACTAGATGGAGAGAAGCCACTCAAACCTCGTGCTCAGCACAGCTCCTCACAGACCCCTGGCGTCTGGGGGGCTTGTGGTTCCCCTTCTGTTAAGGCGCAAGTTGACAGAGGCCTGACTCGCCTGCCTGGCTCAGGCGTGCTGAGCAGGGAGCCCCTCTGGCCCAGGGTGCTCTGCCCTGACACAGACTGCAGATTTCCTTAGTGGAACCACCAGAGAGGCACACAGTGATTTAAATTTATACGGAAGTGTGAATGACTGATAGCAGGCTCTTCCGTGGAGCTGGTCTTGGAGGCAGGAAGTAGGGCTGGGGCCTGGAAGGGGAGCAGAGACACCCCCCAGCGCAGCTCCATCTGCTCCTGCGTGCAGGAGCTGTTGGTCGGTTTAGAACCGTTCTACCCTTTCAGAATCTCAGACGGGAACTTCCTACCAAATTCTTGGGGGAGCCGCAGTGGTCCCTTGGAGCCAGCACAGTTCCCACTCCAGCCGCCTACTCACCCTGCAGGTGCTGGGGCCCATGCCCACCCTGTCCCGGGAGTGTGGCCCATGATTGGTTCTGAGACCATCAGGTGTCTGGGAGGGGCGGGTGGGGCTCCGAAAGGGCAGAGATTTGGGGAAGAGAAGAGGCTGGTGAAGAAAAGGTCTCACGGCAAGTAAGGGTGAGCGGGCAGGGAAGCCCCAGGGCAGGCTGAGGGCAGGGGAGGCAGAAGACCAAGGTCACAGGGAGGGGCGGGGGAGGAGAGGGGCTCGTGGGCAGGGCTGCCTTTGAAGCTTACGTTTCCAGAGGAATCTGGGCCTGGCCCCGCGTCGGGGGCAGGGACGCGCTGCACAGGAGGAACAGGAGGACCGCTGTCTTCTGCAGGGAGGCCCAGGCCACTGGCCACTGGCGGGAGGACATCCTGCTGGGGGGCTGAGGGCTGGGGTCCAGGTGGACGCTGGGGGGTCCGGGCATGCTGCCCGAGCTGTGGTCGGGCTGGGGGGAGGAAGGCGCAGCCTCAGTCCAGGAGCTCCGTCCACCCAGACCCTTGGCGCGTCCCCAGGCCTTCTGCCTCCCGGGTCCGGCAAGCCTGGGGTCCTCGGCTTCCAGTGGGTCCCGGCAGCAACGCCTGGTGGGGCGGGGCTTTGCTCTCAGCCCTGCAGAGAGGTCGCCCCACCTGAGCAGCAGGCTTCCAGGAGAGGGGCCATCGGGGAAGTTGTGACAAAATGAGCTGGTTAATCCACTGGCCTCTTCTCTAATCCCCGCCTGACGGCAGGAGGAGGGGCAGGCGACCTCAGCGGGATTACCCTGATTTCAGAAGGCCGGGCTGGCTCGCTCCGCTAGGGTCACAGCACCCCTCCTGCTTTAAAGAGGCAGACCTGCCCTGGAGAGCACCCTTCCAGGCCCAAGTGGAGGACAGCAAAGTGGCCCTGGCCCCGGACGCAGGCCCAGTGCCCTGCTTACCACGAGCGGGCACGCACCCTCCCTTAAACCTCAAGAGTGATCCTGGCGGCCGAGGTCGTCATCCCAGACTGCACGGGGAGGCTAGGGGATAGGTGGGGCGGGAGGGCTCGGCCCTGGCTCCTGTGTCCAGGCTGCTGCCTTTGGCCAGGTCAGAGGTAACGCCCACACCTGTGGCCCCCACGTCCCCACATCTCACCTGCTCTGGTTCTAGGCTGGGAACCCATTTTCTGGGAAGTTGGTGAGGCTCCAGGCCCCCCCACCCCCGCACAGAACGTGTCCCTAATACGCATGAAAGGAAGGCAGTTCCACCAGCGCTGGTTGAGGCTCTGGGCTCTCTCCATTTCAGCTTCTCCTCTAGCTTCCCCCTAGCCGGGCGACGTCGGGGGTGCTGTGGGCATTTGGGGGTCCAGCTAGGAGGAAGTCGAGTGGGCAGACGCTGAGTTTGGCCTGTGCAGCCCACAGTCCCTTCCCAGCCCGGTGCAGGACACCTCCTGGGAACGCTGACTCCGCAGCGACGCGGGCCCTGCACCAGGACCCCCAGGAGCAGCATGGCTGTCCCGCAGCACCCCCGCTGGCAGTATGCAGGAAGAGAGGGCAAAACAACAAAATAACCCATAAACAATCAATAATCATCCTCAGCAAAATATTGGCAAACAGAATCCAGAAACACATAGAAAAGACCAGACACCATGATTCATCCCAGGATGCAAGGATGGTTCAACATATGCAAATCAACTGACGAGATCCACCAGATCCATGAAAGGCAGGACAAAAATCGCATGATCGCCTCAATAAATGCAGAAAAACAATACATAATCAGAATAGGAAAGAGATGCATTTGAGCCAAGCTGAGGACCAGCCCGGAAGCCCGCCCCCCACGTTGCCCTGCCATTGTATATCTTGTCAGAATAAAGAACATTAAACAAGCCAGGGAGACATTTCTTCAAGTTGGAAGGAAAAAACAAAGAAGAACAGCTCAGCACATACACTGCGAGTCAACGTGGCCCTGGCACCTGGGACGGGGGTTCTCGTCAGAGGCGGACCAGCGCTGCGTCCTGGGAAGGCAGGCATCTAATCTCTGTTTTTAACACAGACACTCTTTACTTCCGTTCGGTGTGCTCTTTTTTTTTTTAATAATTAAAGCAGACGCACAGTGTATGTCTGAGGGGCTGCTTTAGCCAGCGTCGAATCCGGGTTGATTCTTGCATAAGCCAGAATGGCTTCCGTATAACTCAGCAGGTGAACATTTCTTTATCACCAGCCTGGGGAGGAGTCTTCCAAATGTCAGACGAAGCTGCCGGCAGGGGGCGTGGTTCTCGCCTGGCCAGGCCGGACAGCTCTCCTGCTAGGAAGCAGCTGATGCTGAATGTCCATAATTATAAACACGCCACACGCTGTCGTCCCTCCTGACGGGATTGCACAGGACAGAATCTGATCAAAAGTCTCGTGTCTGTGGCTCCAGACCAGTGGTGGTACCACGTGAGGCCACAGTCCACGCCTTCATGTGTCCTGGTGCCCTGGTTCTGACAGAACCTGCTGGTTCCAGCCAAACAGCCCGCCGGGCTGCCACCGACACAGAAGTGCCTGGAGAAACAGGTGTTCAGTGACGGAACGCCTGTGCATGTCCAGCGGGGAGTCCCCGTCGCGGGTTGAGGGTGTGCCCCGCGGCAGAGACCTCTACGGGCCCTTGTGTTCTTCCAGGGGATGCCGGGTTCTGATGAATTCTGCGTCTTTTTTGGGATCAAGAATCACACAAATTTAGAAAAGGACCACAGAGGCGTGCTGGTCAATTAATGAACAGAAAGAACATGTGGTTTTTCTAGGTTTTGTGATTCTGAGGGTATTCATCAACTTCTTGAAATTTGTCGTTGGAGTG